GTAAACACAAAAGTGTGAATGTTACTGTGTTTTAATCAAACAAGTACACGTTATACTGTCTAGTGGCGTTAATGTGCGACATACAAAATATATCTACTGGGTCTGCGCGTAAAGCATCCGAGGCATTACTGCTATGTATATCTGCCGGGACTGTCTCTTTCTGGCTCACATGTGATATGACCATGTGTATATCAAGGCTGTAAAGGGGCACACCAACCTGTTTTGATCCGATTTGCAACAGTGGCACGGGGTTTAACAACTTTTTTACAGCCAGTGATTGGTAGAAGGGGAGACATCAACAGCAGTGTCTTGCGTGTACTGCACTGTCCTATGCCAGCAGTGTGAAATGTCAATGTTTGCGTCTTGTGCTTTGTTTAATATCAACCGCAGTCTGCTTGCGGTGACAAACCACAAGAAACCAGCCCTACCCCCCCCCCCCCCCCTACCCCCCCCCACCCAATGCCCTTTCCCCCCCCCCCCCCTTCCCCCCCCCCCCTCGTTGCATATCTCACTGGCAGGTCACGCATTAAGGGACAATGGGTTTTCTAGCACCCATATGGCGAATTTAACACTACTGAATTTTGAGAAAGTGCAGAAGTATTTTGCACTCTTTTCATGTGCATGCCAACCATGTTTGTGAGTGTGCTTTCAGCAATTCACCAAATTTTTTGTCGCAAAACATATATATTTTACAGTACATCACTGCTCTGTAGAGGTGCGAGTGAGAGGGTAGCTGTGCCGCACAGAGGCACTTGGTCTCTGCATGTCAGGCTGGGAGGAGAGAGGGAGGGATGGGAGCGGGAGCGGGTGAGGGTGAAGTCGATCAGTGAGGGGAATTGTCCTCCCTGAGATCTCTGCAGTAACTGGAGGGAGGCGGAGAGGAAAAACATAGGTCTGTATGCAGCCTACCTATCACTGGAACGCCAGGGTGTCATTGGGCGAGTGAACACAAGAGTCACACGCATACAGCAGAAATCAGTGCCATCGATAAGTGCAACACAGATGAAGTATGTCGTCAGATACATCATATGGAAAACTGCACAATGCAGACAACTAAGTAGGCTCAACATCGTTCGCCAATAAAAAAAATACTGCCCAGTTGTAACATATGGAAGTGATGAAAAATCAGAGAGAAATAAAAAACGTTGCACATGTGAACGCATCAAGTAAAAAGAGGTGTACGCCACATGTTGCCCTGTATACGCGAGTATAGCCGAAGCCTACACGGCGGAGGGCAAATCCTTACGTAGCGCGCAATGACGTGTTGCACGTAATGCTCTCGCGCGGGTTCTTTTTTGTCTTTGTTTGTATGAGTGATGGCTAATCGTCGCATATCGCGGATGCAAAGTCTCTATTCATTCACAAACTCAAACTGGTCCTGTGTGTCATACAGCCCTATTTTGACTTGCTGCGCTCACACGTAGTGGGCAGGTTGTCCATCTAGACTTCTGAAGACATCTGTACAATCTACACTTAGCTATTCAAATAGAGAGAGTTTTATATGTATGTACACTACTGCGTACACGTAGTAAACATCAAAATATCCCGAGTATTTAACCGACACCTGCTAGGTGGGTAGCTCAGCAGGAGGGGCTCTGAGCAAAAACTATAATCCAAAGACAAACCCTAGACAATTCTCTGAGTATACACCGTCACGGTCTCTCAACGTTTGTGTATATATACCACTGCTGACATAGCTACACGTGCTTTCGTAGCAGAGTCTGGAGCTGACCATTCGGTGCTGTCCTGCTGCTGACGCCTCGCTGAGGATTGCATGGCTCTTTGGTATTCCTACTAGATCTCGGGCGTGGCACTCCATGCCCATCATCTCAGACGCTATCATCGCGTCTGTCTTGACCTTTCCATCGTCGCCAGGGGTTGACGTGAATATTCTAAATGGCGCATCCGCAAACAATGCTCAGCGCATGCGCAGTGTGTGCAGAGCGGCACACTTGATAGATAGACGTACGTACGTAGTCTCAACTGTCCCGAATAGGCGGGGAAGTACCGAGTCCCGATTTCACAGCCTTGCGTGCCCGATGTTCTCGGACGTAGTACTGTGCGCGGTAGTGGGTACGTGAAAAAGAGAAACGGTTTGCAGTAGAGCAACGTTAAGTTAGCAGTAGCTTTAGAGCAACGAAATCATGGGACCAAATGGACTTGGTTTACTCGGTGACTCTTTAGCCTGCCGTTACTGTAGGACTCGTAACTGCGACTGGCGTGCGGAGTTTGGAACTGAACCATACGCGCATGCGCACTGTGGTTGTTCGCGCGATGTCCAATATTGAGCAAAGATATCCCGATTGATTATGTCCCACCTACTCCTCTGGATGGTTGAGACCTATGTAGCATCACACTAATGTAGCTATATAGCTGTATGCAGTCTTGCACTAATATACAGTAGCAGAGGAATGTGATAACCTGGGTGGACAATACGAAATGTCTTGATCTGGTTTTTGATAGTTATCGACTCTAGCCTTTTCCATAAACAAAACTTATGTAGAGGTCGATATTGAGAAAGACTGTTCCATCAACTGGCTCTTGGCGTACTGGTGTGGGAAGAGAATATTGAAGGATGACTGGGCTCTGGTCACACACATTAATTTTCATGAATTCAATTGAGTTTCCCACTACAACTGGTATCCCATCCACCCCTCCATAGCTGCCGTGAAGGTGAAGGTGACAAGATACCCTCCGAATTGAATGTCCTGACACATTGTACGAGTGTTTCCAGTTTGAATCCAGTTGTTCAACACCAGCAGGTAGTGGACATTTTCTACCATTCGAAACAGACTCAGTGTTGCATTTCCAAGGACATGCACACTTTGCTCATTCGGTTGAGAGAGGGAGAAGTCGAGACCGTATCTGTCATTAAAGAATTTGAGAGCGTCGTCAAAAGCATGCTGAATGTCATCATCTCTGAACCCAATGATTTCCTTGAAGAAGGTCTGCTCTGGATCACTGATAAGGATGTTAGGATCGTCAACAGTCTGGTCTATCCCTGCAACAAACATGGCAGTGAAGTCAGGACAGACACCACCAGTCAGTTGGTCACAGAGTGAAGCAGTAAATGATGTCAGTGATACAGTGGGTCTACCTGTACGAGGGTGACAGTAGAGAGGCTGGGGTGAGAGGAGATGACAAACTGAGCCACTTCTGACAGAGGAGCACTGGCCGGCAGAGAGGGACGAAGAACTTTCCCATTCGGAAGACGAATCTAGACCAACACAGAATATGTTCAGTACTTAACAGTTTGTGAGCTATAGTGTTCAATGTCTTTGAATGGTGAGGATATTTTCAATACTGGGAATCCTATTATACTATGCACAGAATATACCTGCAGTCTACATGTAGAACTCGAAGAGGCATGGCTCTTTGCTCCTGATGCACTAGTGGCTTTCTCTTCCCCTCCTCCTGCCACGCTGGCCAAGCTACCTGTCGGTGCCGGTGGCTGGAGGAGAGAGAAGAGGCTTCCCTCGCGACTGTCTGGCTCTGCGGTCATCCGCTATCTGCTGCTTTATCAGATTCCTAGCCTGAGGACAGCAGCATAACTAGCTGTCACTGGCATGCATGCTGCGGATCTATGCTTATGAAGTAAAAAACTATGTATAATAAAGTTGTAAAACGGTGGCGTTGGTGGGGTTTAATCAGGTATATCCTTCCATTCACACACTGATTTGTCACTTATGGAATGTCAGCTAGAGTCTCATATCAGTCAAATAGAGCATGCACAATAATACGTACAGTTGACACAAGATGTGCAATCCTGCAGAACCCCTCACCTTAACCTCAGCAACTTTTCTCTCTTTGGACTTTCGAATGACATCCTCTCTCTCTCTGGCTGCATACCTCTCTTTGTCCCTCGCATGCTCCGCCCCCAAGTCATACCTAACACACGACAAACAACCGGCAGGTGATTCCCTCTAGGTTATGATTTATGATTTATTGGCATGCATCTGCGGGAGTGTGTGTCTGTGTGTCTATTTTCTGGCACTATAGCATATCGATAACCTGGCTCATACAGAAGAGTGATACTAACTATACGTACGTACGATAGCCCAATAACCGATTCCCGGACAGTACAAAGATACTGAAAGCCCAGCAGTGTTAGATACATATCCGTCCATAGGGCAGAGATATAGACAGTCATGTATTAGTTGTCCGCATGGCAGATGAAGCACAAATTATATAGGAACACCAACTGTCTTTAAAAAACCAAAAACACGTGAAAATCTGCTACAAAGCAAGAGTTTGTTGTGAGTTTGTGTTTGGCTTCATCATCTTCTACCTCTGCGTAATCATGCCTTCTAGCCCTGCACAGCATAGCATGGCAGGAATTCTGGTCCTGAATTACACGCTTAAGAGTCAGAGTACTCTCTCCCTTTGAATAAGAGCTCAGTTCCGCTGCCTACGTACCACTAGTAGTTTTCCCATACCACAGTGGCCACATGCCAAATAGCATAGGGTTCAAACCCTACTGGCAGAGTTCCAAGAAAATGTGCGCATTGTTTGTTGAGGTAAGAATTCCCCAGTTTGATCTGAGAGCTTCTGCCTCCCTGCAGGGTTGAACATGGTCCCAGTCCAAGAAAAGTACTAACAATCAATTCTAGTCAATTTTCTAGGTATTTGCTATAGGAAACAGCCTATAAACTGGTGGAGTGTGCTATCAATATAAAGAGCCCCTACCTCCCCTTCACGATCAGGACAAAGATACAGATAGATGTACATTTTTGCTGCAGAAAAAGAATCACTCTTTTGTGGGCAGTTATACTGAGGTGAGCTCTCTTGAATCACATGCCCCTCAGCGCGCACGCGCAGCGCGCGCCAGGGTTACAGTTGTTGGTTTGGCTTTGTCTATCTGTCTGTGTGTCGACGCTTATACAGGCTACGAGGCGGCCTATTAGGTATACCAGCGACTTCAGAACTACGTGAGCCTAGGGTGATTTTCCTGAAACGACTGCGTTTGAGAGATATATAATTATGCCGTGAAACAAGCGGGCTTACCGCGACCTAATCCGCTCGCTCTGTGAACCTTGGGGGCTTAGGAAGTCACAACGAACGGCACGTATCGACTCCCGCATGCTATCTACTACTGTTGCCAACATCTTGCAAGCCAACAAAATCACATTTCTGCCACCAACTACATCTCATACCAGGGCCCTTATTGCATTCCTGAGTGCCTTCATAGCATGGCTGAACCTGGATCTAGGCATTCCCTTATGCTTCTTTGACGGACTGACAACCTACGTCAAAACATGGCTACAGTTTGTGTTTCCTCTCTACATTCTGGCATTGGTTGGTGGCATGATCATTGCCAGCAACTACTCCACACGAGTGACTCGGCTCCTCGGGACCAATGCAGTCTCAGTTATGGCCACTCTAGTCCTTCTCTCCTACACCAAGATCCTGAGAATCCTCATCACAGCCTTCTCCTTCACCACACTCACTGGGTCACAGGGCTACCATAGTGTGGTGTGGCTGGCTGACGGCAACATCAAGTACTTTGATCCCAAACATGCCATTCTCTTTCTAGTAGCACTTCTAGTGCTCCTGCTATTCGGAGTACCCTATACAGTCACTCTGACTGCTGCTCCCTGGATACAGAGATCAAGGTTCAAGTGGGTGTCCTCTCTGTACAACAGGTTCAAGCCTCTGTTTGATGCATACATGGGTCCATACAAAGACAGCCATCGCTACTGGACGGGAATGCTGCTGCTAGCAAGAGTGGTTCTGATAGTCCTGTTTTCCAGCATTGCCAACACCAACAGTCTCGCTGGTCCTAAACTGAATCTCCTTCTTCTCAGCATCTCGTCCTGTGCACTGCTAGCTGTCACTACAACTCTCAAACCGTACAAGAATAGGCTACTGAATGGACTGGAAATATTCCACCTTGCAATCCTCTTTCTCTTTTCCTCTTTCAATCTCTACATCTCCCACAATGGCACTAGGGTTGGAAGTACCTACATCTACATAGTCCTTGTTGGGATCTGTTTCCTTGTGTTCCTGGGAATCTGTGTGGGCCACGTCTGCTACAGAGTACGGAAGGCTCGGACTGGAAGGAGGCCAGAACCACCACAGAGAGAGGAAGAGGAGCGTTATCCTCTGTGGCAGAGAGCCAGGATCAGAGCTGAGGACGAGGACGAAGAGAGAGAAGAGGTCACGATATCGACAGCCGGTGCCTCCAACACCATATCAAACGGAGGGAGACGGGAGTCACTTTTGGAGCTGATAGCTGATAATGTGTAAACACAAAAGTAGTGACTGTTACTGTGTTTTAATCAAACAAGTACACGTTTTATAATGTATAAGTTGGGTTAAGTGCCGACATACAAAAATATACTACTTGTGTCTGCTAGTAAATGAATCCGAGCATTACTGCTATATTTCTGCCGGGACTGTCCTTTCTTGGCTCACATTGTGATATTGCCATGTGTATTCAAGCTGTAAAGTGGCACCCACCTGTTTTTGATCCGATTTGCAACAGTTGCAAACCTTTTTAACAGCCAGTGATTGGTAGAAGGGGAGACATCAACAGCAAGTGTCTTTTGTGTATACTGCACTGTCCTTTGAGTCGCATGCCAGCAGTGTGAAATGTAATGTTTTCAGTCTTGTGCTTTGTTTCATATCCACCCACTAGTCTGCTTGCGAGTGCCAACCACAAGCAACCAGTTGCATATCTCACTGGCAGGTCACGCATTCAGACAATGGGTTTAGCACCCATATGGAACACTACTGAATTTCGAGAAATTGCAAAAGTATTTTTGCAATCTTTTCATGTGCCTGCCAATGACGTTTGTGAGTTTGCTTTTCAGCAATTCACCAAATTTTTTGTCACAAAACAATATATTTTTACGGTACATCACCTGCTCTTTAGAGGTTGCGAGTGAGAGGTTAGCTGTGCCCCAGAGGACATTGGTCTCTGAATGTCAGGCTGGGAAGGGAGAGGGATGGGGGAAGGGGAGAGGGTGGGGGTGGGAGTCTGATCAGTGAGGGGATTTGTCCTCCTCTGAGATCTCTGCAGTAACCTGGAGGGAGGGAGGAGAGGAAAACATAGCGTCTGTATGCAGCCTCCTATAACTGGAATGCAAGGCATTTTGACGGAGTGGACACAAGAGTCACATGCACACAGCATAAATTCAGTGCCATCTATATACACAAACGATATGTGCAACACAGACTGAAGTATGTCATCGGATAATAATAAGTAAGGAAAAACTGCGCATTCAGACAACTAAGTAGGCTGACATCATTTGCCAATAAAATGAAAAGCACTAAAGTGCAAACCCTTGGCGAACTACGCATGCGCATTGGTGGGCTGGGCTATTTGTATGCGTTTACTCGTGGTCTCCCGCTAGTAGCTCGCGGAGAATCTGAAACGGGCTAGCCACGGTAGTAGATAGCATGCGGGAGTCGATACATGCCATTCGTTGTGATTTCCTGAGCCCCCAAGGTACACAGGAGTGAGCGGATCAGCGCTCAGGTCGCGGTAAGCCCGGGGGCGATTATCACATGCCAATAATCAATACGCATGCGCACCACTAATGGATGGAGTGGGCCACGCTACGTGGTCTGGGACTGTGCCAGTTTCTCGCGCTCGAACGCTGTCTATCGCCATTTTTAATTTCATTTGCTTGGCTTGTAGCACTGGAGCATTTGGTATCGCTCTTAGGCTGCCTCGTAGCCTGTAGTGCGAGAATAGTCGTGGACAGGCAAACACACAGACAAACTAACCCTCGGTCCGCTCGGCACCACGCGCGAGGGTACAAGTCTCCAGGTTAGGAGAGTGCGATAAAATCCAGAGAGAGGACCTTCGCACATATAAGTGTGCAGGTGTGTCCCTCTCTAGACGTCTGAAGAGACACGCTGTACATCTGAAAACCTGCAACTGTATCAGCCGCCGAGCACCCACGAAAACAAGATACAACAGCTCATCTCGGCCTGACCATTTTGTTAACATATACGATAGCTTGCCCTTCTACACTTCCTGATTCCTGAGCGACTTCAGTACCATCTCACTGTTAGTCAGTGGATGCACAGCGAGTCCAGCACTGAGGTATACGTACTGTGTAAGAATGTCTACTCTATGCTCGTCAGTATCACGGTGACGGTCAACCCAAAAAACGTTTCCGTCCTGTCTGTGTAACTTTTTGATACGAGGTCTCAGGTATGTTTTGCTATGGTGTATTCGGGTTCACTGGGAGCAGCGTAAAATAAACTATTATCTACTGGTTGCTCTCGGGGCGCATATGTACCCAGCTACAGCATACTAGAAACTCGCGCTGTATAGCTGCTTCTCCTAATTGCACAGTACTTGCTCAGTGTTCCCTGTGTTATGGGCATACAGCCATATACAATTTGTCTTTGTAGCATATGAGTTACATTCTTCCAGACTTTTTATATGTATGAAATTATAGTTCATAGCATCCAGCCATAGGTATAATTATAGATAGATAGAGAGATAGATAGAGAATATACGAAAAACACCACCACCATTCATTATGTCACAAACGAAAGTGCTATCGCAACCACAAAAGGCACATACGACGAAATACACATGACATGACATGATAGTTAGGACACTGGGTGCACCGAGCCTTTGGAGAGACCGAGTGAGACGTGAAAGAGTCTCTTGGCTAGCCAACTCTCACACAGCACCAGCATCCAAAGCCCCGACATCACAAAACAGCAATGACAGCCACACAGTGAGTAACGGTACGATAGTAGGCTAGTCACGACAACGAACATGTGAGAGTGTACGATACATGTTAAATATAAAGATATAAATATAGACACAAACCACGTAGATGTAGTAGAAAAAGAAATTGGTGTCATCTGTAGCACAGCTTACGTACTGACGTGACACAAAACAGGTATAGAATGCTCTCACTTGTAGCCGTAAACACATGGTAGAAAGAAGTATAGAGATGACTTACGTGTAGCGGTAGAAACAGGTGTGTGTACGAGACAAATAGAATCTGTAGATATAAAATGACTTACGCCAGGTTAGGTGTAGCGTTGGTGCCACTATCGTGTTCCTCCTATTAGATGCCGCCCCGACGTAGTGTGATCCATCAGTAAAAATTATGCAGTCGCGTAGTAGTCAACGTGAAGCTTAGGTCTGACAACTGTGTGTACGAAAACATCTAGCTACCAATGCCAGACGGGAGTCTCCCTACGTGTTTGTGAGACATGCGGC